AAAATAAGAAGACTTAGAGTGATGAAAAAAAAGAGAGACTTATACGAGCAGAGTGAAAAAAAAGAGAGACTTATACGAACAGAGTGAAAAAAAAGAGAGACTTATACGAACAGAGTGAAAAAAAAAGAGAGACTTATACGAGCAGAGTGAAAAAAAAGAGAGACTTATACGAACAGAGTGAAAAAAAATAGAGCAGAGAAAAAAAAAGAGAGACTATACGAACAGAGTGAAAAAAATAAGAGACTTATACGTCTTATACGAACAGAGTGAAAAAAAGAGAGACTGATACTTAACAGAGTGAAAAAAAAAGAGACTTTATAACAGAGTGAAAAAAAAAAGAGAGACTTATACGAATCAGACCAACTACGTTTTCATAAAATGGAGTTGGTCTGATAAGATGAATATACTTATATTCATTGAAATAAATTTATTACTGGTAATGATTTTTAAGTTTTTTCCTAATTATTATTATAATTTGGTCTGTATAATACACTGAGCTCTCATCTGGACTAAAAATCGTCTTTGGAATAATCCCTACCAATTACAATTTGGTATTATATATATATATATATATATAGAAAGATAACAAAGTTTTAAGGAAAATAAGAACAGAAATGACACTCATACTTAAAACTGAAGAAAAAAAAACATTTGAACTTTCTAGGACACATAATAAGAAAAAAGGGCTTGGAGAACTTGACACTCATGGGACATACTGATAGCAAGAGTAGAAGAAGAAAGCATCAAGTAGGTTACCTAACAAGCTTTTATAAATAGATGGCAGAGCAAGGATTAGGAGTGAAAAGAAAGAAACAAAACTTACTAAAAGCTACAAAGAATAGGAGGCTTTGGAGAGCAGTGGTCACCCATGTACAGAAGAAACACAGCACATAGAAAAAGATACAAGCATATCATCCAGATTGGTTGGTTGGTTAATTTTAGAGATTTTTTGCTATCCCCAAGGATGATTGAACTCACTATTAAAGCAGATGAGCCTTACTAACCATTACTCCATGCCATGGAGCTCATTTGAAAGTAGTACTTCCTATTTTATTATGTTAACACTAGTGGCTGAACTTTCCCACCAATAACCCAAATTTTTGGCTTTGTTACAGATAACAGTTGAGTGATAGTCTGGCAAAGTGGTATCTGACATAAAAATACATACATCTGTGTGTCAATTGTACTCATTGTCATTTACTGAGATTGTGGAACTTTAACAGAGACCAAACAATGGATGTGAGCACAGTTATGCAATGGTTACCTCTGCTGGTGCAAATTTTTTTTATGTGTGTGTCATGCACACCTTGTTCACTGCTGGGAAAAGCGCACAGTCAGCTGTCACGAGTGAATGCAGAAAAATAGTGTTTTGTAGCTGAAAACTTGCTCTCTCTAGTGATGTCATTATTCCCCTGTATCTAGTGCACTTTCCATGGAAACAGAAAGGAGGCACTTCCTTTGGAGCAATTTCCACAGTCACATTCACACACCCAGCCTACCAGTACTTGTTTTTCCACACGTATCTATCTTGTTTATATATATATATATATATATATATATATATATATATATATATATATATATATATATATAACAGGGGATGTCTGTGTGTCTGTGTGATACCTTTTCACTCAAGATCTATCCAACCGAATCTGACTAAACTTGGCACATACATTGTACCATGTAAGAGATAGGTTCCTAGCATAAAAAATGATAATTTCTAAAAAATCAATATTCGATGAAGCCAACCAAAAAAAACTCGATAAAGTCAACTTTTTCCTCAGATTTCATTCAAACTTGCTATGTAGGTTACTTACATCATGACAAGCTCAATGATCCCTCATTTTTATTTTTACGCCACTACGTTTAACAAAAAACTACAAAAAATCACACAAATTTGAAATTAAAAACTCCCTCAATTTTCAAGCAATCTAATACAAACTTCACTCAATTGTAGCTAACAATAAGTTGATTGCTTAACAGTCATTTAACTTGATAACTGAGCCCACCCATATAGTGAAAACCCATGTAAATAGTGAAAAATGGCAATTTTTACTGGTTTCTTTCTTATTCTTTGTTGATCTTTCAACGAATTTTCATCAAACTTAGCAATTGCTTTATAAATGTATCCTCTTTTACATCCCTGGTAGCACACTGACAAATTGAATTTCAAAAACAAAATAATTGAAGTGGGCCTTCATGTTGCCTGTTTTACCCCTTCATGTCCTTGGCTAACTTCGATTGGATAAATAGAGATTACTTCTGTTATATCAGTAACTGCATTAATTCAAAATGTTTTTTTAATGAAATTACTTTAAAGTAATTGAAGAAGGTAGATTCTGTTACATCTAAACATGATGCTGTTTTTGCTCCATTCTAATTGAATACTTTTCCTGATTGACCAGCAGGGTATGGCTGATAGTCAACAATAATTTCCCAATCCATATTGTATGATTTTATCACTTCACTGTATCAAAAAGAAAAGGAGTTGTGTCCTCAT